TGTTTGTTAAATTAAACTACTGTTAATTGTTGTGTTCACATACTTTTACTTAAAAAAAAAAAAATCATATATTAGCATCGCAATTATATACCCACGTCCCTCACTTAAATTGCGGATGCTCATATGGGAATTGAACATGAGACCGTGTACTTATCCACACTATCCAATTCATTCAACCATCTAGACTACCCCATATAGATCATATCAAAATATGAAGTTAGAAAAAAAAAAAAAAAAAATAAATATCAAAAATCTGTATTTGATGCATATTTTAGGGTCGAAACATAAAAATGAAATTACAACAAGGACCCGTTTGGATCGGTATATAAGAACGAGGGTAATCTTCATTTATTTTGCAAGATTCGGTTTGGTTTGCAAGTAATAAAATATTACGTAATCTTTTATTGCAAATAGGTTTACTGTTGGTATATAAGGGGTAATTTTATTACCTTGCTAGGGTGTATTAAAAATTACCGGGGAATTGATTTTTCTACCCATTTCCCTATAAAAACCATTTCGACACAATTGTCCTTAAATATCTACCAAATAACAATTACACCCCCCTACATTTGAGAAATTAGCTAAAACACCCCACACAAAAAAATTTAAAAGTTAACAATACCCCAGCCATGCTGGTCGTGACTCACACTACCTTGTCGGGTCAATCGCCGTAATGGTGCACAACAGTAGGATCTAATCCAATGTGCGCAGTAAAGCCTTTTTAGCATGGATCATAGATCATGGTGGAAACAGTAGATCAGGCTTTCTATGCCGGTTCATAGCCAAAGATCTGGCATTTTCACAGCAAATCTATGGACGTGAAATGCCATAGATCTGGTGTTTTTCCCATGGATTTGTGATCCATGGCCATCTGCTTGCCGCGCACGACTGGCCATATACGGCCAATCGTGCGTCATTCCGTACTACGACATGGTAGTTGGTTGGTTCGGTAATGGCTTGGGGGGGTGGGGGGTGATTTTGCTAAAATTAAAGTTTTATATAGTTGTGGTGTTTTTGCAAAATTTCAAATGTGAGGGTTAAAAGAAATGATTCAAAAAATAATAATAAAAAATACTATTATATTAATATTTAAAAGAGGGCAATTTTGTAATTATATAACATCCCACCATTTATCCTCGCAAACAAACATATATTCACCAATTTATTTGAACTAACCAAACAAATTTCTAAACATTCTTAAAATATTCAAAGTGATCTTCTTTCCGTTAATATAAATTCTCGTATAATAAAACATTATATGATCCAAAGTAAGCCCCAAAAAATTATAATATTACTATAAAAGCTAGATAATCTTTGAATACTTAATTAATAGAAATTATTGTAGTTTAATTTAGAGGTATTGTTTTGTATTGGCTTAATAACTTGTTCATTAATAAATTTTGGGGTTTTGTTTTACACTTGTTAAAATTATAAATATATTTTATATCGTCAAATGCAATCAAAAATATATAATTATAAAGAGCATTATAAATAATACTCATTTTTGTATAACTATACCCAATATATATTTATTATAAGTTTATTACAATTGTAAGTGAAAGGAAAATATACAGATCATTCATAATGTTTATCCTCACAATATCAAAGATTCAATATTCAAAATTCAATACAGTAGAAATTTATCGGAAAGCCTAATATAAATATATTTTTTAAAAAAAATTATAAATATAAATATTTATTTGATAATATTTTGGAATATGAAAAAATATTTGAAATATGCCTGAACTACTTTTCTTAAAAAAAAAAAAAATCCAAAAGACATCAAGTCTAATACTTCATTCGATAAAAATAAATTCAATTTAAAAAATTGACTCAAATTACAAAATTTATCATCGATTCACCATTTACTTTCAAAGTATGTCATTTAATGATAGACGTAGATCATGAAGTTTCCTTGCGGCCTAGCATATCAGTTTTCTAAAATTATAAATTAATAATTTACTTTTTATGTATCAAGTTCAAATGTAGTGTAGAACAGTATAAGTTTCCTCAAGAAAAAAGCATAATTAATTACAATAGTAGTAAAAAATACATTTAGAAAAGATTTAACATGGGTCGTAATAGGGATAAAGAAAGTTTTTGTTTTTTAATGCATTAAAATTGTAATTTTTTTTAGTTATGCACATAGTTTACTAATATTATCATAAGTTTTCTTCATATATAATCTTAAAATTTGCTTTAGAACACACAAAATAAGTTAAAATGGATCCTAAAACATTGGGATTAAGAGTACTATAATATTAAAGAATATCACGTTATCACACAATTTGATGGATTGATATCATCTCTTTCTATTTTTTCGTCTATCTTACAAATAATAGAAATGGTTAGTAAATAGAAAATCTATGTATCTAGCTCATAATTTATAGTGTTAACGCTCGCAATTCAGCAACAGTGTCTACAAAATCTTTTCAAAATAGATAGTCCGATGCTTTTACTAGGCTCAATTTTCAGGCTTAATTGATAATTTTTTGAAATTCAAAAGAAATTAAGCATAATAAAGTATGCTCATGTGTCCCACAATTGATGATTCCAATCTTGGAAATCAAGAATCTTTGGAAGGGATTTTTCTCCCAAGCAAAGTAATATGTGACTCTATTGACACTACGACAAGTTAAATAACTTTCGATTCTGATTCATGTTTGTAATCGTCAAGATGAATGAATAAGGATTGTAATGTAAGTACGTTGATATTATGGTCCATTTGTGACTTATTATAGAATAATATTGTATTGTATGTACTGTAATGTACTGTACTGTCCACCGTTGCATGACTATTGTTGATTCATCTATTTAATTTATTATTGGTGTCAATTTTTTTTATTTCACATTTTTTGCATCTATCATATAAATATGTTAATATAATCTCGGTGATGATGTGTGGCTTGAAATTGCCAGGTGGAGTCAACATTAGTCAAAGAAAGCAGATTCACAATTAACTGAAGAGGCGTCGTTTTGGCTATCAAACTTAAGTGCCTATTGGCACTCGAAACCCATTCTGTTGCAACAAATTCACACTATCTCTCTTCTCTCTGGTCCCATTTCACCCTAGTTCTTTGCTCATGACAAAAGTTCAGTGCCCATCTTCTCCAATGGATTGCAGATCATACTGGACAACTGAGGATGATCAAGGAGTCCTATGTGTAAAATCAACCAATATGTACAGAGAAAAAGAGCAGTGAGAGCGCTTAATGGGGTGTTCTTTCTGTATTTCTCTGGTTGTATACTCTCTGTAATCTTGGTTCTCTTGATTAATGAAATACCCTATAGTGTGCCTTGAAGATGGATGAGCTACCTTAGCCGAACCACTATAAATCCCCTGTGTCAATTTCTATTATGTTCTTTATGCTTACTAATCTCTGAATTGATTGCATGTTGATTGAAGTTGTGTTAGCTCATTGATTGATTTGATCGCTTAGTTGATAACTCTAATTAGTCACTACAAATGGTATCAGAGCCTAGTTCGAATCCTAATTAGGGTTATTGAAAAATTATTTTCTGTCGTTGCAAATCTTATTCCAAAAAACATGTCCACTAAATTTGAACTCGAAAAGTTTACAGGGGACAATGATTTTGGACTCTGGAAAATGAAAATGGAAGCTGTGCTGATTAAAGAAGGACTAGCCTTAGCGTGAAAAGGAATCTGAGTTGCCACACCATGACTGAAGTTGAGAAGCAGGATGTTCTCAACAAAGTAAGAGCTCCTTGATCTTAGGACTAGGTGACAAAGTCCTTCGAGAAGTGAAGAAGAGAAAACTGATGCTAGATCTGGAACAGTTAGACTCTTGTATCAATCTAAAGATCCCTAATAGACTGTATTAAAACAAAGACTGTTTGGGTTTAAAATGGGGAGCAGAAATCTTTAAAAGAAATAAGGATGATTTTTAAAATTATACAGGATTTAAAAAGCATATCAGTAGAGGTTGGTAATGAAGACCAGGCTGTAATCTTCTAAATTCCCACCAAAACTTACTCCAATTTTGTAGAAACATTAAAATATGGTAGGCAACCCTAAATTAGAAAAGGTTGTAGAAAGCCATTACAGCTAAGGAAGAGAGAACAGAATGACATTAGGCAGTGATGGGGAAGTCTCAGAGTAAGGTAGATCAGAGAAGAGAAACTGGAAAAAGGGGGGACACAATAGGAATAGATTAAGTCCAAAACTGGGAAATGGAAGTGCTTCTTCTGTCACAAAGAAGGCCATCTTAGGAGAGATTGTCCTGAGAGGAAAATAAGAAGAAGTATGGAAAGAGGAAGAGGGAAGGCAGTGCTGTGTTGTGTCTAAGGTTATGAAAGTGTGAGGTATTAGTCATCTCTAAGGTAGAAATGTGAGGAATGGATTAGACAAGGATGTACACTACCACATGACACCAAATAGGGAGTGATTTAATCTTTCAAACTGTAGATGGTGGAAAAGTTGTGATGGGAAATAATGCAGTAGTGGCATTAAGGGCATAGTACTGTTAAGCTAAGCCTTCACAATGGCCTAACAAAACCCTCACCAATGTAAGATACATTCCTGACCTCAAGAGGAATCTAATATCACTAGCACCCTAGACTCAATAGGACTGAGTTACAAGGCTTCAAATGGAAGTCTTAGTGTAATGAAAGGGTCATTTAATGGATGAAAGGTGAAAAGAAAAATGGTCTCTATGTGTTAAAGGTTAGGACAGATTATGGCATAGTTGCTGTAGGTCTCTAGTAACACATGAGAAAACCTTATTGTGGCATCAAAGGTTGGCACATGTTAGTGAAAGAGGGTTAGTAGTTGAGTAAACAAAATTGTTAAGAGGGGAAAAAACTGAAATTTAAACTTCTGTGAACACTGTTTTTGGCAAAATGTGAGGTGAAATTTGAATTTGGTAAACATTACTCAGCTCACCACTTGTATGTTCACTCAGATGTATGGGGACAGCTAGACACTACTCACTAGGGGGTTGTAGGTATTTCATAGTTTGTAGATGATTACCCCTAAATATGTTCTTCTTCTCCAGGTTCCGAGAATTAAACTCATTGAAGACCTGACAGAGGACAAAAGTATTGAAAATCATGGTATTGTTGACTCTCTCGTTTGTTTTAAAGATTTCTTTTCCTCTGAACTGTAGAATCAGTAAGACAGCTACTTGATAAAGGGTTTGAGAAATGAGGTTCCTCCACATGACTCTGGTTATAAGAGGCTTTGATCGACCGACAGGGGTTTTTTTCATGAGATCATTTGTGGGCGGCTCTGTGGCCAATGCTAATGCTCCCAAGGAATCCATTATCAGGTTTACCCATAGCAACTGAACGGCAGATAGTGGAACTTTACCTGAGGAAACAGCGGCGACAAAATTGATGACAAGAGCTGCAACATTCACAGTGAGCTGAAATTGAAGGAACTTTTGAATGTTGTTGAAGACGCATCTTCCCCACTTCAGAACTGTAACCACAGTGGTGAAATTGTCATCCATGATTATAATATCTGAGCTCTCCTTTGCTATTTCTGTCCCTTGAATTCCCATGGATAGTCCAATGTCTGCTTCCTTTAAAGCAGGGGCATCGTTTGTGCCGTCACCAGTTACTGCTACAACTTGGCCCTTTTTCTTCAATGTTTGAACCATCAAAAGCTTGTCAAACGGGGAAGATCTAGCCATTACTCGAATGGTTTCAATCTTATCATCTCTTTCTTGAGGGGAGTAATTTCTGAACTTCACACCTTCGACTATAGCTTCATCATCGAAATCCGGTTCGAGGATTCCGCATTCAATAGCTATAGCTCTTGCTGTGTGCAGGTTGTCTCCAGTTACCATCTTGATTTTCACCCCTGCACTTGTACAAGATTTTACAGCTTCGCTTACACCTGGGCGACACGGATCCTTCAAGCCGAAAATCCCCAATAAGATCAGTCCGGTTTCTTCAAGATTCGATTGAATTTTCTCCGTTTCTTCAACTTTTTTGTGTGCCATGGCAATGCATCTCAAGCTCTTGCCTGCCATTCCCTCAATAATTTTCGAAATTTGGTTTCTTTTTTCGTCATCCATGGCTTCCTCTTTCCCATCTTTGAGATAATAATGGGAGCACATGGCAAATATTATCTCTGCAGCTCCCATCCAGTGCATGTGAACACCTTCACCCTCTTCGTTGTACCTCTTCACCGAAAGTCCACTTCTCTTTTTCTCTGAATTGAAGGACTCTATTTGGATCTTTTGACAACTATGCTTGGGTTCATTAACATCCATTTCCCAATCATTGACAGCCCAAGAAAGAATTGCTTTCTCAGTCGGATTACCACTAATCTCAGGTGCAGCTGGAGCAGCCGGTTTATATACGCTACCGGTCGTGTTTAAACCGATTGCTTCTTGCAGCAAATTACGGAAATTGCCTTTTACTTCTTCCGAGGGAACAACGTCTTCTGGGGAAGCACCACCTTCTGAGGAAGCAACATATACTTTCTCTTTTCCAAGCCAGAATTCCGTAACTTTCATCTGGTTTACAGTAAGAGTACCAGTTTTATCTGTACATATTTTTGTGGCTGACCCCATCGTCTCACAAGCTGAGAGCTTCCGAACCATTGCATGATCCTTCATCATTCGCTTCATAGAAAAAGCCAGAGTAAGAGTAACAGCCAGAGGCAAACCTTCAGGAATCGCCACAACTAAAATTGTGACTGCGGCTGCAATTATACGAATCACCGACTTCATCACATCATCGAACTTAGTCTTGCTCCCCTGAAACTCTTTGTTTCCTTTCTCGTCTCTGGTACTTCCAGTAAAATAACGAATTAGCATGACAGCGAGTACTAGTATTGCCACCGTCAATCCGATCCTCCCAATGTAAGAAGTCAGCACGTTGAGACGAGATTGCAATGGAGTCGTCTCATTCACTTCATGCCTTATAGTGCTCATCAATTGACCCCAGGCTGTGCTCATGCCCACAGAAGTAACGAGCATAAAACCAAATCCATCAGTGACTTTAGTACCAGAGAGCAAGAATGGATTCTTTTCATTGACCTCAACATGGTCACTTTCTCCAGTCATGCTTGACTCATCCACTTTCAAGGATTGGCCTTCCAGGAACAACCCATCAGCCGGAATTTGATTACCAATCTTCAAAGGCACAACATCTCCAACAACTATATCGAAGATCGATATACGGTGGCGCCTCCCGTCCCTCACCACCTCCACTTGAATTTCGTTACTTTCATCCGAGAGAGCCTCAAACTGTCTACTCTGTTTAAAATTGCTCCCTGTAGAGACAGAGACAACCAAAATCACAGCAATGATAATGCTACCTCTATCGTACCACCCTTCTTTCCAGCCATCTTCTTTAATGCCGAACACCAGAGAGAGTACAGCACAAACCAGAAGTATAATAATAGTTGTATCTTTAAACGCTTCAAGAACAAAGCTGAGAAATCCTTTCAGAGGTGGTTTCTTGTACCTGTTTTCTCCAAAGCCATTCCTCCTTTCAGCAAGATCAGCTTCCTTGCCGCTGATACCAGTTTCCGGATGGCTTTCCAGCAAAGTAGCAATCTGTTTTACTCCGCCGAAGTCTTCAAGAGAATGAAGAATCTTGTCTTTCACCATCTCGGAAAGCTTCTTCTTAACATCGTCAGGAAAAGCCTTGCTGCCATTGTTATTTCCCTGGTTTTCATTAGGGACATCAATGGCATGGTAAGAAACAGAGCGCAGCAAGGACTTGTTCTCAAGAACCTTCCGGGACAAAGAAGCAAGAACCTTGGTGAAACATATCGCCCGGAAAGCCATTCGCCACCTCCGTTGATGGAGTTTTGATGGAGCGGTACTATCTTCTTTTTGTTTAAGCTTGAGCATCTTCTTTTCAGATGGTTTTCGAGACCTCAAATCCATGAATAACGAGGAAATGAAGAATGATAATGATCAACAAACCAAGTTGGCAGAGAGAAAGAAGTTTGGTATGAATTCAAGTAACAATTGTAGTACTATATGTAAGCAGGCAGGGAGGGAGGGAGGGGGGTCAAGGAGGGCAGTTGACCGTCCTTGACTTTGAAAAATTGTCAAATATATATATACATATATGTGAAATTGTTTTTTAAATTCATCAAATATATCAAATTAAATTCTTAGTTTTACAAAAAAAATCCCACAAATACATTTAATAAATTATATAATGAATTTTATATCTATTATTTAATTGTACAAAGAACAAAATGAAGAAAGTTTGTATATCTTTTCATATATTTTACAAAATAAATATCTTTTCTAAAATTTGTTTGTTAAATTAAACTACTGTTAATTGTTTTGTGTTTCAATACTTTTTACTTAAAAAAAAAAATCATATATGTAGCATCCGCAATTTATATCCACCACGATCCCTCACTTAAATTGCGGATGCTCATATGGGGAATTGAACATGAGACCGTGTACTTATCCACACTATCTCAATTCATTCTAACCATCTAGACTACCCACATATAGATCATATCAAAATATTGAAGTTAGAAAAAAAAAAAAAAAAAAAAAGATAAATATCAAAAATCTGTATTTTGATGCATTATTTTAATGGGTCGAAACATAAAAGTGAAATTACAACAAGGACCCGTTTGGATCGGGGGTATATAAGATAACGAGGGTAATCTTCATTTATTTTGCAAGATTTCGGTGTTTGGTTTGCAAGTAATAAAATATTACGGTAATCTTTTATTGCAAATAGTGTTTACTGTTGGTAATATAAGGGGTAATTTTATTACCTTGCTAGGCAGTGTTATTAAAATATTACCGGGGTAATTTGATTTTTCTACCCATTTTACCCTTAATTAAAAACCATTTCGGACACAATTGTCCTTAAATATCTACCAAATAACAATTATCTAGCCCCCCTACATTTGAGAAATTAGCTTAAAACACCCCAGCCACAAAAAAATTTAAAAGTTAACAAAATACCCCAGCCATTGCTGGTCGTGACTCACCACCTCCCGTTGTCGGTGTCAATCGCCGTAATGGTGCACAACTAGTAGGATCTAACCAATCGTGCGCCAGTAAAGCCTTTTCTAGCCATGGATCATAGATTCATGGTTGGAAACAGTCAGATCAGGCATTTCTATGGCCGGTTCATAGCCAAAGATCTGGCATTTTCACAGCCAAATCTATGGACGTGAAATAGCCATAGATCTGGCTGTTTTTCAACCATGGATTTGTGATCCATGGCCATTTCTGGCTTTGCCGGCGCACGACTGGCCATATACGGCCAATCGTGCGTCATTCCGTCAACTACCGACAGTGGTAGTTGGTTGGCTTCCGGTAATGGCTTGGGGTGGGTGGGGGTGATTTTGCTATAAATTAAAGTTTTATATGGTTGTGGTGTTTTTGCAAAATTTCAAATGTGAGGGTTAAAAGAAATGATTCAAAAAATAATAATAATAAATACTATTATATTAATATTTAAAAATGAGGGCAATTTTGTAATCTATATAACATACCCACCATTTATCCTCGCAACCAAACATATTATTCACCAATTTATTTGAACTAACCAAACACATTTTCTAAACATTCTTAATAATCTTCAAAGTGATCTTTCTTTCCGTTAATATAAAATTCTCGTATAATAAAACATTATATGATCCAAAGTACGCCCCAAAAAATTATAATATTTTACTATAAAAGCTAGATAAATCTTTGAATACTTAATTAATAGAAATTTTATTGTAGTTTAATTTAGAGGTATTGTTATTTGTATTGGCTTAATAACTTGCCTTACATTACTAAATGCTTTGGGTTTTGTTTTACACTTGTTAAAATATTATAAATATTTCATATCGTCAAATGCAATCATAAATATATTAATTATAAAGGCATTTAAAATATACTCATTTTGTATACTTATACCCAATATATTATTTATATAAGTTTTACAATTGTAAGTGAAAGGAAAATATACAGATCATTCATAATGTTTATCCTCACAATATCAAAGATTCAATATTCAAAATTCAATACAGTAGAAATTTATCGGAAGCCCTTAATATTAAATATATTTTTTAAAAAAAATTATAAATATAAATATTTATTTGATAATATTTGGAATATGAAAAAATATTTGAAATATGCCTGAACTACTTTTCTTAAAAAAAAAAAAAAATCCAAAAGACATCACGTCTAATACTTCATTCGATAAAAATAAATTCAAAAAATTGACCAAATTACAAAATTATCACTGATCTCACCATTATACTTTCAAAGTATGTCATTTAATGATAGACGTAGATCATGAAGTTTCCTTGCGGCCTAGCATATCAGTTTCTAAAATTTATAAATATAATTTACTTTTTATGTATCAAGTTCAATGTAGTGTAGAACATGTATAATGTTTCCTCAAAGAAAATGCATAATAATTACAATAGCTAGTAACAATACATTTAGAAAAGATTTAACATGGGTCGTTAATAAGGGATAAAGAAAGTTTTTGTTTTTAATGCATTAAAATTGTAATTTTTTTAGTTATGCACATAGTTTTACTAAATTATCAATAGTTTTTCTTCATATATAATCTTAAAATTGCTTTAGAACACACAAATAAGTTAAAATGGAATCCTAAAACATGGGATCAGAGTACTATAATATTATAAGAATCACGTTATCCACACCCAATTTGATGGATTGATATCATCTCTTTTCTATTTTTTTCGTCTATCTTTACAATAATATGAATAATGGGTAGTAATAGAAAATCTATGTATCTAGCTCATAATTATAGTGTTAACGCTCGCAATTCAGCAACAGTGTCTACAAAATCTTTTCAAATAGTAGTCCGATGCTTTATTAGGCTCAATTTTCAGGCTTAATTGATAATTTTTGAAATTCAAAAGAAATTAAGCATAATAAAGTATGCTCATGTGTCCCACAATTGATGATTCCAATTTGGAAATCAAGAACTTTTGGAAGGGATTTCTTCTCCAAGCAAAGTAATATGTGACTCTATTGACACTACAGACAAGTTAAATAACTTTCTTGATCTGATATGTTTGTAATCGTCAAGATGAATGACATAAGGATTGTAATGTAAGTACGTTGATATTATTGGTCCATTTGTGATTTATTATAAGAATAATATTGTATTGTATGTACTGTACTGTACGTACTGTACACCGTTGCATGACTTTGCTATGTATTATCATCTATTTAATTATTATTGGTGTCAATTTATTTTATTTACAATTTTTTGCATCTATCATATAATATATGTATATATTAATCTCTGTGATGAGATGTGGTTGAAATTGCCAGGTGGAGTCAACATTAGTCAAAGAAAGCAGATTCACAATTTAACTAAGAGGCGTCGTTTTGGCTATCAAACTTAAGTGCCTATCTGGCACTCGAAACCCATTCTGTTGCAACAAATTCACACTCATCTCTCTTTCCTTGGTCCCATTTCACCCTAGTTCTTTGCTCATGACAAAGATTTCAGTGCCCATTTCTCCAACGGATTGCAGTCATACTGGACAAGCGAGGTGATCAACGGAGTCCTATGTTATAAAATCAAACAATATGTACTAGAGAAAACGAGCAGTGAGAGGGCTTATCGGGTGTTCTTTCTTGTATTCTCTGGTTGTATACTCTTCTGTAATCTTGGTTCTCTTGATTAATGAAATACCCTATAGTGTGCCTTGAAGAGATGATGAAGCTACCTTAGCCGAACCACTAAAATCCCCTGTGTCAATTTCTATTATGTTCTTTTATGCTTTACAATCTCTGATTGATTGCATGTTGATTGAAGTTGTGTTAGCTCATTGATTGATTTGATCAGCTTAGGTGATAACCCTAATTAGTCACTACAAATTGGTACAGAGCCTAGTTCGAATCCTAATTAGGGTTATTTAAATTTATTTCGTGCTTGCAAATCTTATTCCAAAAACATGTCCACTAAATTTGAACTCAAAAGTTTACAGGGGACAATGTTGGACTCGGAAGATGAAAATGGAAGCTGGGCTATTAAGAAGGACTAGCCTTAGCTTGAAAGGGAATCTGAGTTGCCTACACCATGACTGAAGTTGAGAAGCAGGATGTTCTCAACAAAGTAAGAGCTCCTTGATCTTAGGACTAGGTGACAAAGTCCTTCGAGATGTGAGAAGAGAAAACTGATGCTAGATCTGGAACAGGTTAGACTCTCTGTATCAATCTAAGATGTCCCTAATAGACTGTATAAAACAAAGACTGTTTGGGTTTAAAATGGATGAGCAGAAATCTTTAAAAGAAATAAGATGATTTTTAAAACTTATACAGGATTTAAAAGCATATCAGTAGAGGTTGGTAATGAAGACCAGGCTGTAATTCTTCTAAATTCCCTACCAAAACTTACTCCAATTTTGTAGAAACATTAAAATATGGTAGGCAACCCTAAATTAGAAAAGGTTGTAAAAGCCATTACAGCTAAGGATAGAGAGAACAGAATGACATTAGGCAGTGATGGGGAAGGTCTCATAGTAAATGGTAGATCAGAGAAGAGAAACTGGAAAAAGGGGGACACAATAGGAAAAGATTAAGTCCAAAACTGGGAAATGGAAGTGCTTTTCTGTCACAAAGAAGGCCATCTTAGGAGGATTGTCTGAGAGGAAAATAAGAAGAAGTATGGAACGGAGGAAGGGAAGGCAGTGCTGATGTTGTGTCTAAGGTTATGAAAGTTAGAGGATTAGTCATCTCTAAGGTAGAAATGGTGAGGAATGGATCTTAGACACAGGATGTACCTACACATGACACAAATAGGGAGGATTTATCTCTTTCCAAACTGTAGATGGTGGAAAGTTGTGATGGGAAATAATGCAGTATGTGGCATTAAGGCATAGTACTGTTAAGCTAAGCCTTCACAATGGCCTAACCAAAACCCTCACCAATGTAAGATACATTCCTGACCTCAAGAGGAATCTAATATCACTAAGCACCCTAG